ATGCTTGATTAATTGATTCATAGTCACACTTCTATATATAGTCCTCATTTTTTACTGCAAATGCTGTAGATGTATTGATTAATTGCTGTGGAATTGTCTTGGTTGGTTGCAACCTTTCCCATGTCATGTCTTTTGATTTGTGGCCCTGAGCAATATTAATATTTGATTTGAATGGTGATTGTAGAAGTTTTTTTCTGGGTACACTTCTTTTCTTTTTATTGAAGTGATGAAAACTCGAAACCAAATAAAAGTGTGCTTGAGGCTCTAGAAATTCTTTCCAGATCAGCCTCCTGGTCTTACATTCATGCATGAATGATGTTCTGTAAATTTGATGCATATGAAGTCAAAAGTTGTTGCTAGTGAAGTAATTGTTGCTTTACCATGTCTGAGCCATCAGAATATTTGTTACTTTTGCACCAAATGCCAATATACTTGTCACTGTATGCGGAATGTTGCTGCTCTTTAAAGAGCGTTTATGATAAAACTTCAGTATTTTCAGCCCTTGCAACCCACCACAAGCCCAGTAGCCCAACCTGATTAGTGTATTCTAAGCAAACAATTATATACAAAAAGCTTTCTACATTCCTACTCAATGTGGGACCAGTTTGCTACACTTATTCTCCGACACCACTGTCGGAGTCGCTGAACACTTTCTCTCTCTCTCTGGACTTCGAGCCTTCGAGGCTCTCTGCATCGAAACCCTAACCTGCCAACACGTTGTCGACTCCCATCGGAATTTCCAATAAATCTTCCCCGCCGTTCACCACCTTCCTCTTCCTCTTCCTCTTCTGAAGTATCTTCCAGTGCCTCTTCTAACTAGAAATCTTCATTGAATCTTCTTGGTTGATTTGAGCTTGCAGACCCTCTTCCAACTTGGTTGGTGCTAGCAATACCTCTTCCTGCTTCATTTGAGGTTGCACACCCTCTTCCATCTTGGTTGGTGCTTTCAATACACCCAAATCGAGTAGCTGATGTAGGCCTCATCATCTTATTGTGAAGGAATTCGAGAAGGCCGTGGAGGGAGATTTCAGCATTGGTGTTCTTCATCAGCTCTCCAGCAACTTCTGCAGGGGTGACCTTTACCTCCCTCAAGAGTCCTTCAATCTGATCAAATAGCTGGTGATGGCAAAGCCCCAGGTAGTTCAAAGCTAGTTGCTTGAATGCAGAGAAGGTACAGTATGACATTTCGACGTGCATGTCCATACGACCTGCTCTGAGTAAAGCAGGGTCAAGCCTCTCTTTGTGATTGGTTGTGAAAATGATTACACGTTCATCTCCGCAGTATGACCAGAGGCCATCGATGAAGGTTAGAAGTCCTGAGAGCGTCACCTTCTGGGAGTCGTCTTGTACCTCCCCATCCTCTCTGTTTTGCAGCTTGATAGTGCAGTCAATATCCTCAATGACGATTATGGATCTACTAGAAGTGCTAAGCAAGAGAGACCTTAGATGCCAATTAGATTGGACATCTGCTAGATCCAAGTCATATATGTCAAAGTTTAAGTGATTAGCAATGGCCGCGATCAAGCTTGACTTGCCTGTGCCTGGAGGGCCATACAGCAAGTACCCGCGCTTCCAAGCTTTCCCAATTCTTCTTTAGGCCCCTCTCCTCTTAGGAAATTGTCCAAGTCCTCCACTAATGCATTCTTTAGCCCCGAATCCATTGCTAGGTTCTTGAAGGTCATGGGATGGCTGAGATTGATTGCATTTGAGTCCCAACCACGATGAGGAACAACGGTGCGGAGCTTAATTGCCTTGCTTTCTTCTTTTATTGTCTTTGATCTGTCTAAAATGTATGGCAAGTATGAACCCAGCACCTTCTCTTTGTGTTTCTTGTGGAAGCTCAACTCATAGGACTTGATTTCCGATCCTAAATTGGCATTAAGAGCAGGGCGATGTCTGAAACAAATGAATCTCCATTTTACTTGCACATTTTCAAAACTATCAACTATCTCTTGGTTCCTATCAATAGTGATTTCTACTCTCTTCTCTTTCTCTGCCTTACCCAATCTCACTCTTTGAGTTGGTTGATTGGTTTACTATAGTGCCTAAATATACATTGGCTGCCTCAAAAAATTGGTTCACGACTTGCCCTTGAAATTCTTCTATGACGATGGTGAAGTGAGAAGAGAAATGGTGAGAAAGGTGACGAAATCCGGAGAAGAAGAAGTTTTGGATCTCGGGTGGGAGGAATTCGTTTGCAACCCTTCGAATGAGCATTGCCGAAGCAGCAAGAGAGGCTGCTGCGGAAAATACAGCTTTTATATCAGCAGGGACAGTTTTCAGGACTCCGAAATATGGAGAGTTTCTATCGAATTATGAGAAAGGAATGAGTAGAAAAGAGAGTCTGAAGTTTGGTATATTGCTTGAAGCTCTTCAAGATTCTGTATGATTCTATTGGTTTGTCTTGGGATTCATATCCAATGATATTTATAGGTACAATATTAAGCCTGGAAATAATGACTTTTCATTCTGAACTTTCTTGGCTACCAAACACCTTTGAAAACCATGTATGAAGGAAGGACCTTGTATGATTATTCTACAAAGCCTGTAAATCATAGACAATTCAATTGAAAGGACTTCTAGATTACTTTTCATTTTGATCTTTCTTGCCTGCCAAGCCTTTTGAAATCTATGCATGAATTGGTTCTCTACAATCTTCTCAATGCTGGGGTATGTCCTCATTCAACATAAATATATCATGATAATTACAAAACAAGCGCTGAAAAAATGGCCGATGGGAGGACACCATCAAAATTTAACTCTTATTTATTTATTATTATCATCTTGATAAAGTAGGGAGAGAGGATTTCGATACGGGCATACCTATTCAGAGAGTTAGGCGTTCTATCAACTAGACCATTATGAATAATGTTCATCAAATTTTTAACTTGATATTATGGTTTTGTGTGTGTTGTGTATAGCCAAATAATAGATTGGATTGAGATCGGATCAATTCTATTTCAATAACTGGATATGTTAAAAGAATGTAATGTTAAATGAGATTAACTCTTTTATTTTATCCTGGCAAATTAGTGGGAGGAGGGACTCGAACATGGGCAAACCCGCTTAGAGAGTTGGACGTTAGACCAACTAAGCCACTGAATAATGTCCGCGTATACATACTTGCATACATTATATAAATATGTGTGTAAACGTGTGTGTCCCAAGAATAGGCTAATATAAATAAGATCTTAGAAAAATACACTAGTGGTTTAATATTACTTCATATTCCTGCTTTTGGAAATTGTAATTATACTTTAGCTTTTCAAATTGAAAACGGTGTTGTTGGTTGTAGAGTTTGTGTGATAGGACATTACCCACATCTGAACATGTTGTTAGGGGCTTTTTTGTCATTATATACATAATGTATATACATAATGTAGGGTACTTATGTGTAATTTATGGAACTTCTAAGTATAAATAAAATGCCATGGAAGGATGAAAGCCTACTTCCATTCTCTCACTCTTGCACCTTCTCCCCCTCCCTCCTTGTCTTCCTTCTCTTATTCTTCTACTTTACTCTTGTTTATTTATTTATTATTATTCTTTTACTTTACTTTTTTTTTTTTTTTTTTTTTTTTTTTGGGTAAAAAAAAAAATTTGTTCTGTTATTTTTTTTTCTTTTCTCTCCGGAGTGTAAAAAAAAACTCCTTGGCATATAAAAAATGTGCAACAAATACTCATACAATCGTACTATTTAACAAATTTCCCTAAATATAAAGTAGGGATCCTTTAGTCATTTCATTGTTCAGTAACTCCTAAATTAAAAAATATTCCCTTATTTTCACGAATTAGAAAATATATGGGGTTTTTTGAACGATGGGATTTATTTGCACATTTGTATACAGCGAATTAGAGAGGTTGGTTTTGGGCAACATTTTTGGAAAGAAACTCATGCCCAACTCTTCAAAATTCAAGAAAGCTTTCATTCTAATTCAAAGTCGCCTTTATTTTAGCCAACTCCTAGCCACCATGAATGCTGATTTGATTGAAAATTTTCCATCATGTGAAAAAATCCCCAAACTCAAAGAGCATCGTTTCTACCAAAAATACTAACCCAAATCCGAATTAATGCAATGCGATGCAAAAACAATTCCCTTCCTCCATGCAAAATAAAACTAAAAATATATATACAAGTAAAAAAAGGCAGCAACCTATTTTCTAATATATATATATATATATATATAAGCAAAAAACAAAATGGCAAAACAAAATCATTCCTTATTACATACTTGAATTTCAGCTGCATTGGAATTTCACAAGGTTATATTTTCAGCCTATTGCAACAGCTGCCGCGAATCAGAAGTGAAAAATAATAATAATAATAATAAAATAAAAATAAAAAACTAACCCGACCCTCTCTCACTTTGAAAAAAAAATACTAACCCGACCCTCAACCTCTCACTTTGATGGGAAATGAAATATCACTGGATGACAAACTTGGTTGTTGATAGTGAGTGAGTAATGTTACAATTATTGATCAGGTTTTATAAAATTTAATAAACAGTATTTAGCAAAGATTCTTGTCAGCATTAGATAAAAATAAACACTCTTACTCATTTTGAAGGAAATTTTGTATTATACACACTAGTTGATTTTTCTAATTAAAAAAATAGCATAATTTCTCCTAAAAGTACAGTATATAAAAATAAAATGTGAATATTATTTTCTAATCAATTTATTTATTTATTTATTAAGAGCATGTAATATTGACACTCTTTATTGCACTTCAATTTTTTCTAACAAAGGAATTGGCCGCATACGATTACATTCTAAAAAAAAGAGTGTAAATATGAATTATTCAAAAGAAAGAAAGAAAGCCAAGGTAAAAATACAAAAAATAAAAAATGAAAGAAAAAAAGAAAAGAGTGTAAAGTATAGTATGTAAGCAATTGCTTTTAAGGATAGTTGTGTCTTTGTAACAGGCAATGGACCATGCACGGTGATTCAAATTCCTTAATATTTTATTTAATTATAATATATCTCAACGGTCGAATTTGGTCGGATGGAATAACCAAAAATCAACTCTTATCTCGTGTGTGTGTGAGAGTGAGAGAGAGAGACACAGACAGAGACAGAGATGGGGAAAAGAAAGGGGCTATCAGAGACCTCAGAAACCCTAATTTCTAGAGGAAGAGGCGACGATGAAATGGTGGCTGAAGAAGAAAAAGGAGGGTTCTTTGCATGCTATCTGTTGACTTCTCTCAGCCCAAGGCACAAAGGCCACACTTACATCGGGTTAGTCTCATCATCCCTTATTTCTCTTTCATAAACACGCACACGCACACACATATATATAGTTGCCTAAAGAAAAATTTCATCTTTAGGGTTTCTTTTATTTGTTGGAGCCATTGGAGCTCTGATCTTGACTTCTTCTTTTTTTTCATTTCTGTATCGTATAGGGTTTTGGGGTTTCCTTTTATTTCTTTCCGCATCTTCTTTTGTTTCTCTTTTCCCTTTTGTTTCATGATTAATTTGCATACCAATTGGTTATCTTGATTGTTCTTAATTTCAATCCTAGACCTTGAAATGTTAGATTCAATGTCCCAATTTGTGTAGATTTACGGTGAATCCACGCCGTCGAATTAGACAGCATAACGGCGAAATTAGTTGTGGTGCTTGGAGGACAAAGACTAAGCGCCCATGGGAAATGGTTTTGTGCATATATGGTTTCCCCACCAATGTGTCTGCTCTTCAGGTAACACAATTGCTATTATTTTTGTACATATTCTCTCTCTTTTTTCTTTTTTTCTTTTTTTTTTTTTTTTGGGAAGATACAACTTTGGCATTTTAAGATTCACCAAAATAGATTATAAGCTGCAATCATTGAAACAGGCAGTTTTAATTCACTAGCCCTTGTTCTAAATTCTAGCTATGTCTTAAGTTGTTCTGATTGCAAAATGAAAACCTTTTAATTGGGACTCAAAGCCATTCACTCATTGTGATATCTTCTTATGCATGATTGTCCAAGCGTCGACCAATTGTCTTAGTTTTAGTTTGAATAATGGTACATTTTATGAGTACTATACTTCACAGAAAGCAAAAATTCTGCTTGATTCCGAAAGTTTTTAAATTTCATTTTATTTTTGGCCTGACTGCAATTGGTTTCAAATAAGAGCGAGTATGATGCAAATTTAGTACACATTACAGGACCTAAGTCTACAGGGGAGGGAGGGGATCAAGAAATTTTTACTTGTGGGAGCCAAATTAATAGGATGAAAATAAATTTTAAAAAATTATAGTGAAATTAATAAGAAGATTATTTATAAATAAATAGTATTTTATAAATCATGAAGTGCATAAAATGAGAAAATAATAGATTGGGATCTTTGAACTTTCCTTTTAATGTGGACTGTAGAGTTCCAAAAATATGACCAAAAGAGACTCAAATTTAAATTTATTATGTGTGTGTTTTTTTTGTTGTTTTGGGGGGGGGGGGGGGGGGGGGGGGGGGGGGGGTGGGGTGGGGGGTGTTGTTAAGGTATTTTGAATCTACAATTTATTAGTAATTTTAGGTATTTTACAAAATTTTGGGGGTCCAACATAGTTCTGCCCCTGTAAATATATTTTCTACTGAAGCATTTGTATGATGATCTAATCCCCAATGCCAAAGCTGTCCTAGCTTGAGTTTTAGTATGAAACAGTGGTATATGTGAGAAGGACACAGAACGGGAAGTACGAATTCTAATGATTGTCTGAAAAATTTGACATTTTAGAAGTGTAAGATAATTTTGAGCAAATACTAATTGAATAACAAAATTGTTTGAATTACATTTTGGTTTTGCCAGTGACTCCGATTGGTTCCAAATAAGACCTTGTATAATGCAAATTTAGTACACTCATGAAAGACTTAAGAGTACCTAAGTCTATTTCTATTGAAGCTTCTGTATGATCTAATCCCCCAATGCCAAAGCTGTCTTAGCACGTCATATCAATATTTTGGCAGCTGGGATTTGTGGCTTTGAAGTTCCGTTCTTGTTGATTTTAAAAAATGAATTGAAAAGGAAATAGTGCTGCAATAACATTATGAAATGTTCTTATGGAGTTTGCAGTTTGAATGGGCCTGGCAGCACCCACATGAATCAGTCGCGGTGAGAAAGGCAGCTGTAACTTTTAAAACCCTCTCCGGTATTGCTAACAAGATAAAACTGGCATACACAATGCTCACCCTTCCGTCATGGCAGAGGTATCATATTGTTTCTGATGCGTGTGAATGCCATTGTTTTGCTTTAACTTGGTGGTTGTTTTGAAGAGTGTCTTACATTATTTCTGTATATGGTTAGCCTGAACCTTAAGGTGAACTTTTTCTCGACAAAATACATGAAGCATTCTGCTGGTTGCCCAAGCCTACCGGATCATATGAAGGTCCAATTTGGTTCAATGGATGATCTTCCCTGCTATTCGGGAAGCGATTATAATGCATATGAAAATGAAGATGGCTGGGATGATGGTGATAAATTTGAAGGAACTGGTATTGCATGTGGATTTACAGAAGAAAAAATAACAGATTTAACAGCTTCTAACTATGCTGATTATCAGAAGAGATTTGAAGAGACTACTTATGAACAGAATGGTGGACGGATAGAAGACTTTGACACTGGACAGGCAAGCGACCCGCTTGTGTCAGAAGATCACAGGCAGCCAGATCGTGTCAGTAATTTCCCCGCGCCTCTGTCATCTGCATTTGTTACTAGCACTTGTAGTGTATTAGAGACAGTGGAAGATGACGATATGCTTGGCCTTGTTGAGCAAAGTAGCGTTAAAGTGGATCTGCCAACCACGAAGCAGCTAACATCCATAGCAGCTGCTGGTAAAGATGAACAACCACCGATCAATCGTCACACAGTCCCTCATAAATCCGAGGTTATAGATTTGTCATCGCCCTCTCCTGGCTACAGAATTAGTTTCCGCAGCAAGAAGATAAGAGTTTCAACTATTTGTCCTGAGATAGTTGACTTGACATAATCTCCAATTTTGTTTAATCTGTAGAATGTTAGTAAGGCAAAAAAATAAAATACAAAACACTTGTCTGCTTTATAAATTGTTGTACAATTGTTTTTAGGTTAGCCTATCAGGTGTCATTATTAACCCCCTCCAGTAGAGCTTTCTGTGCAAGTGTACTTTTGAAAATGAAAATTTTGTTGCAATAATCAATAGATATACACTGCATATCAAATTGGATCAGTTCTTCTTCACCAACTGAACTGCAAAAGCATGTCACATGAGGTCTACATAAATGGCAGATTTACTAATGTGAATTTCACCCGTACTTCGATGCTCTATCCAAGTCTGGATGTAACACCAACCACATTTTACTAGGAAAAAATCGTCTCCGAGGCACCTCTCACTGGAGGCTGTCCTTGGAGGGGTAAATTGGTGACATGGCCCTTTTAGCAAAAAGGATATTTACTTTGGCAGGTATATATACATACATAAGTCTGTATCTGTTGGTAAATATATATGTTTTATGTAACATTTAAGATATAACAAACCTTATACTAATATGTCATGAAATAATTAACAATATGCTAAGAAATTATTAATTAAATATGCAACTCTATATTTAATTAAATATGCAAAATAAAGTAATAAAATAATAATAATAACTAAAGAACCTGAACCGAGACTAGTATTGGATACTATATCTTTAAGACAGATTCGCCTCGCTATGGTGCTAATGGACTCAGTGGCGTTTATCTCCCAGGATATAACGGTCTACATCCACCAGTAGCAGCACTACAAACTCGTGGATACGGCGAACCTCCTCCGTGTAATACTCTCTCTGACTCAAAAATACATCTATACTATATAAATAATGAATTGGGTGCAATCTGAACCAAATGGCTCGGACCAAATTTAATATGGCTCAATAAAATCGGTTTTGGGCCTAAGTGGCTCAAACCACTTGACCATGGCTTGAACCTACACCTAATTGGGTTGGGTTCATGTTGAGAGAGGGAGAGAAGAATGGAAAATTGTACACATAAATGGCAACCAATGGTGGGTATTTATAGATAAGGTGGTGTCTCTTTGTTAACAGGCACAACCACTTCCAATACGTTGCAATGGTTGGTTATAATCAAAGTGGTGTCCCATCGTTATTAGATGTGTTTGTTCATTTTAGATACAATGGTTTAGAGTAGTTGCATCTATTGGTTATAACCACTCCTAAAACATCACCTTATTCGAATCGACACAACCTTTCACACCAAAATATTCTTCTTACAACCAACATATAGTTGATATTCACATGTTGTAGTCTAATGTGATATACATAGACACGTTACATACGAGTTACATTTACACACCTTTCTAACAATTCCCCACATGAATGGAAATTGGCTGCTTAAATGCAAATGATAATGCAGACACTAGAGAGAGTATAATCGAAAAGTTACTGCATCAGGATAGGTAGCTTTTGGCTTTGAACCTTCCTTAGTGTATTGCTATCAAATTTACTGGCTAACCAGTGAACGCGATGTCTTGAACTGTTCAACCATTTGTGTAAACCAAGACAATAACAAACATATAGTACCCTTCCTCACAAAGTTGGTTCTCATTGTTGCGTTCATTTTGGCCCTGAACAACTCCTGGTATTCAATGAGTGCTCCAGAAAACTTAGCCTTTATAGTTCTCATAGAAGCGGTCCCACTTCACACTCATATAGGTGACTTCTTATTAAGAGTATCCTATCATACCCCACTTGAATTTTCAAAGTATAAGAGTCATTAAAAGCGTAGCTTATTATAACGACCCACTCTCCCACATGGTATGATATTGTCCGCTTTGGGCCTGAGCCCGCACGGTTTTGTTCTTGGGTTTCACCCCAAAAGGCCTCATACCAATTAGAGGTGACACACTTACATATAAGCACTGCACCTTTCCTCTACCCAGGCAATGTAGGATTGTGCACCTGTAGCTCGCCAGTGTGGTAGCCTGACAGTGTCTCTCGCACCTGCCCACGGCACACCCGCCTACAAGGTCGTCACAATCCACCCCCCTTGGAGGCCCGACGTCCCCGTCGGCACACTTCCGGCTAGGTCAGGCTCTGATACCATTTGTGATACCCCTCGGATCCGAGACACGGGTTGATCAGGCCCAGGCCCAAACCCGAGGGAATATCAAACAATTAAAGTATTTTAAAACGAACACAGATGACAAAAAGAACAATAAAGATAGAATAAAACTGAAAGAAATAATAATAATAAAATCCTCCATGTGTAACTGAAAATTGAAACTCCAATCCTCCAAAACTTTAGAGTTACAACTTAGGAATCCACTGATGGACCCCTAACTAAAAATTCAACTGAGACTGAAACTGAAAATAGATAATACTAGAAACATCGGGGAAAGTCCTACGTAATCCGATGAAAGTGAGACTGTCCTCGACAAGCACGATCAAGCTCTAAGGCTGGAACCATCCTGTACCTGAAAAGAATAATAAAGGGTGGGTCAGACCCATGAGTAAGTTCTAATCTAACTGCAATCCATACAGTGACCCGATACGCAGATACACCGTAGACACTTCACAATATCTATCTAGTCTATACGTATAAATATATCCACACTAAGGGACATTCACTAGTCTATAATAGGGGTCTCAACCTGAATAGAAGGCAACATGCGAATACGCACCCAAAGGTGGGCATGAGTAACTAGACCTAACAGGGTACACCTCAACCTATTATAACCAGCTGCGCATCCACTGCATATACGCACCCTAACCAACGAGTTTGAGACTCAAGCTCAACTCGTGGTACCATAAACATATATATAAAGTCCGTCCAAATCCAGGGTAAGCAGTTCGACTATTTATTAAACTGACATACAATAAGCCAACTAGTTAGTCACTCAACTTATTCAGTTGATATGACTTAACTACCATCCGTTAATCCAGGAAGTCATCCAACTTGGTTACAGCTGATTTGACTTAGCCACAATTAGGATTCGATATCTTTCAATCCATTCCATTAATTCATTAGGTTAGGTTTATGCGTTTTGAGCTAAACCGTCCCTTGTATGTCACCGTCCAATACCGGTACATACAATCCTCCATATCCATGTAAATTACAACATATATAACAGTTCAATAATTTACAGACCAAAAACCACCATCCAATACTTGCAGAGGGAATCTTAACAATCTAGCAAATAAAATCCAGTAATAATCCATGTAATTGCATCGGAGAATAAACTATTCTAACAATTAACATCCAACACATGCATAGTTCAAATTTAATAAAACAATGACCCTATCATGTATTTAAAATTAGTTCTATAATAATATTATAGTCCAATAAATCGCTAAATTAAACTAAGCAATCTAGTTCCCTCCATCCGGTAACAGAATACTAAGTCATATACTTATATTGTATTGTATCCTTTAGCATAGAGCCCCCACTATGCCACAAGTCCATTGTATTACTTTAAAAGACTTCATCGTGCATCTAAAATAAATTTAAAATCATTTTATAGCACCCTAAACCATCAGATTAAAATTAATCAACAAATCTCCTTCCAGCCGTTAACTGTACGCAAAGTTGTCAAATAGCGTACTGTTAATTCCATTTAAACTAAGGGGTAAATTTATGCAATTCAAGACCTTAGTTACAAGTTAAAATTATTATTTAACGCCCAACTAAAATTTTAAAACTGATTAAAATTGATTAATAACCCAGAATGCCCAAACAGTGAACATAGTACGTAGAAAAGTGTGAATTTTGGCAGCGGGAGGTGAAATTTCTAGGTCACGTGGTGTCAGAAAAGGGGATAGCAGTGGATCCGGCCAAGGTTTCAGCGGTGGTTGAATGGGGACAGCCTACATCACCTACTGAGATTCGGAGTTTTCTTGGTCTGACAAGATATTACAGGAGATTCATCCAGGGGTTTTCCAAGATAGCAGGACCACTCACTCATCTGACCAAGAAGGGTGTACAGTTCGTGTGGGATGAACACTGTCAGCGAGCTTTTGATGAGCTGAAAAGGAAGCTGACTTCTACACCAGTTCTGGCTACTCCGCAGAGCGGAATAGAGTATCTTGTTTACACGGATGCTTTGTTGCAGGGTCTCGGATGTGAATTGATGCAGGAGGAGCGACAGATTTCTTATGGATCTCGGAAACTTAAGCCTCATGAGCTTAATTATCTAACACATGATTTGGAGTTGGCAGCAGTGGTTTTTGCCTTGCGTATTTGGAGGCATTATATGTTGGGTAAGTCCTTCAGATTATTCAGTGATCACAAGAGTCTGCAGTACTTGTTCACTCAGCGGGAGCTGAATATGAGACAGCGCAGATGGTTGGAGTTTGTAAAAGACTATCATTTTTCTATACAGTACCATCCAGGGAAAGCAAATGTAGTGGCGGATGCACTCAGTCGCCGACCTGTTGGTAGTCTTTCTGCTCTATTCACTACTGAGTGGAATGCTTTGAAGAATGTAGATGAGTTGTCAGACGTTTTTATGGCTTGCATGGTGGTTACACCTTCCATCATTCGCAAGGTTTTACAAGCACAACTCACCGATCAGCAGTGTGTCGACATGGTCGCAGAGATAGCTTCCGGAGAGGTTTCATTCTACTATGTTGGGGCTGATGGAGGTTTAAGGTACAAGGGATGGTTAGTGGTACCTTCTGCTGATAATTTGAGGAAGGATGTGATGACTAAGACTCACCACTCTGAGTTCTCTGTTCATCCAGGAGGTGATAAGATGTATTAGGATATGAAACGGCAGTTTTGGTGGGCAGGTATGAAGAGGGACATTGCTCTTTTTGTTTCTCAGTGTAGTACTTGTCAGATGGTTAAGATTGATCATCAGAAGCCGCCAGGAGCTCTACAGTCACTACCAATTCCAGAGTGGAAATGGGAGAGCAAATCTATGGATTTTGTGGAAGGGTTGCCAAATTCTTTCAAGGGGCATAATTCGATATGGGTCATTGTGGATAGGTTGACCAAGTCAGCTCATTTCTTGCCTATTTGCACTGACTACACTTTGGAGCAGTTGGCGAGGCTTTACATTTCAGAGATTGTGAAGCTACATGGCATTCCATTGTCTATTATATCGGACAGGGATT